AGGCAAGGGGCGAGTCCTGCAGTAAGGTAGGCAACCGTAAGAGAGGGCCAGAGAAAAGGATGCGCAGAGAGAGGGGGCGCGCACCGGGTAGGCAGAAGACACAGTCGGATGAGGAGGATTCGCATAGACGAGGCGTAACAACGGCGAAGGAGGTCGCCGCTTCTGTGGAGAAGCAGAGGCTGGGTGGAGGCGAAGGTGAATGGCAAAGTAGCGACGAGCGAAGTTACCTGTGGCACGAGCCGAACTAGAGGCAACGCGGCGGAGTCTTGGGAACGAGGTAGAGAATATGAATGGTAGGTAAGAGAGTCGGCATGAGGCTGGAGGCTTACGTTTTCTGCTGTCGATGACTGCATTAGGTTATTTTCGTACTCTCTACTCGATTGCCGTGCGAGCGGCCCACCCGCCCTCCCACTAACAGCCAAATGGCTGATCGGAATTGTCTTTGAAGGGTTTGGGTACCGCGGGAGTGTGGTCGCAGACGCAATGGCCTTCCCCACAATAAGTTAGTAGTGAGTACGGATCACGCGATGACGTTTAAGCAATGAAACTGTTGCCGGTCAAAAATGTAACAGGTAACTGATTTGGAAATATGCAACATGAAACTTCGCATGCATTAGGTTAAAAGCAATAATTACCCCCGACCCGGAACCCGGACAAAACTGCTCTAACACGTCATCCGCAGCAATCCCAGAAACTCGTCAAGCTTAGGTTTCTATCCAGATAATAGCAAAGCATGCCTACACATATCCATCAATCCCAAGAACACCGGATTTAGACCACGACATGCAGCCGGCCCGACAGCGAAACGGGCTCCATCACTTATGGGATGGGAATCAAACTACTTTTTGCTCACCAGTCTTTCCCTTGTCATAATTCCGACAGCGGGTGTTGGTGCAACCTAGCCAGCCTGAAGTTCACAAAGCCGCCGCGGCGGACCACTCTCCTTTTAGCCCTGTAGGTGATATGGCCTTCGGCTTGTTGCCCCCAATGTCCTCCGGAATTTGTAAACACGACACTAAAATTTCGGCAGTTAGCCTAGAGCTTCTGTTGGACAGATCGTTAGCCAAATATAGACATAGCTTACTCATGCATCCTGCAATAAAAAGAGCCTTGGGATGATTGAAGTTCTAGCGCGTTACCAAGGCATTTTCGGATAACTGTCCACCAATTTTCGTACAGCGCCCTTTCCGTGAGACCTTCCCAATTCGAGCATTATTTAGCCATCTGTCTTCTGATATCAATAAATCAATTTGCGATGCAACAGACCGTAAAATAATTGTCAGGTTGCAAGCACTTCCTGGGCCTTGCTTGTAACCCGCAAGAACTTCGCAACAAGCTCAAACGTCAGTCAAAAGTTGCCCAGCTATCCTGTCCCTTTGTCGTTTCTGTACTCCCTGCTGCATTTGTAACACCAGATGTAATCACACTGGCGCAAAGAACAGGCACCTTTTCGGTGCTGTCGGTTCTGCCATCCATTCGCAGTGGAGCGTCGCCATGCTGTGGTAATACTCCTCCCAAACCATCGTTCCAGGGTAGGTGGGGCCCCGGGTGAGGCGAGAGAACCTGGTAGATAGCAGGCGTTATTCAAGGAAGCATTTGGCTGGTCAAAACGAGGAATGCGCGCACAGCTGCAGACCAATACCGCAACTAGGACACACCACTCCTGAAGATCATACGCGTTGCAAATACAGTGGAAGATTAACAAGTAGAAAGACTGAGGCCTACACACATAAAAACGTCCAACTTCGTAGCCCAATTGAAAAACGTAACCACCTGGACACCCGCACAATGACTCACGGCGCCAAATCAAGGCGCCGACCAAAGCTGCAGGAATAAAGGTAAAGATATTCCAATCGGGAAGTGGAAACTTAACAGCTTTGAATTTGGTCACATAAAAGTAGCTGGACACTAGTGCTGGCTAATAAACAGATAGGAAGTCAGACAAAAAAGACAGCAGCAAGTGGTAATGCCCTAGAGCTCAGCTCACCGGCAGTTGCGGCGGTGGGTTGGCAATCTGTCCAGGATGTGACGTTGCCCAGGACACCGTTGACCCAGATCCAGACACCGAGGCCAGTCCAGATGCCGGCGGCGGCAGCAGCGGCGGCGGGGGTATTGCCCCAGGAACAATGGCTGAAGGTCCGCACGATGGCACCACAGGCCCATGCGCCACGAGAAAGCCGCCAGCAGCTGCTCCAGCAGACGTCCCTGGCTTTTTCAAACCGCTGACATTAACCCTGCAAAGGCAACGAAGCAACGGCCAACAGAGAGCAAAAGCCACAACTTTCACTCTGCCCACCTGTTTCCAACAAAGAACAAATCTAAGCAAACCTTAATCAAACCCACAGCATGCCCAACTCCCCAACAGGCTGTACTGCAGCCCAACAGCCCAACAAAAAGTTGGGCTGTCCCCGGGCCACGACTAGCCAGCACGGAGCCGCTGACCAGTCTCCCGAAAAATTGTGTGTGAGAGCGGGGGGAGAGATAGAGAGAAAGAGAGGGAGGGAGAGAGAGAGAGGCAGGCCCAGGGAGTGCCATCACTCGGAATATCAGACCCTCCACTTGAACCTCATCCACGGCCTCTAAATCTTCTTTCAACAGAGGTTTGTTTCCGTCCGGATGGCCTTTTATTCCAAGGCCGCAACTTGTATTCCCTTGCGTATTTTTGCAACCCGTTTCCCTGTACGGAACAACACGCACGCACCGTATTGTTTGACCCTCCTGGAGACGCAGCCCAGAGGTTTGCCGGTACAATCCCTCCACCTCCGCTGCGGCGCTGCTGTTGGCGGCGGCGGCGCCGGGCGCCCAGTACTGCGCCGCGGGCCCTGACCTGGAGCTCGAGGTTGTAGCGGCGCCGGCGGCAACCCCCACGATTCCATCACAGGGCGCCGACCCCGCCATCGCTGCCGCCGCCGCCGCCAGTACTTTGGCCTGTGCTGCACGCTCGCGAGCCACATGCTGCTCGTGCCGTACCTGTACACGGCGTAGGCCCCGGGAAGAAAACAGAGACGGCGACGGTGGTTGAGAGGCTGCGGAAAGGTGCACGGTGATCATGTAGCAGTGACTGTACAAAGCGTTGCCCACGCCCCTGGTATCAGGAGGCTTCGTTTGTTCATTGGCGACGAGGTCAGACCACACCCATCCGCGGGATACATGTGAAGGCTTGGGCGTGGGTTTTACGAAACCGGGGAAACCCGTCCCGTGTGAATCATTCGGAGACACTCGTGGCTGAGTGCTTCGCACAGCCACAGGAACAAAGAGGACCGCACCGCGGCATCTGACACAATACGAACGACGTGCTTGGATTTCCGCATAACGTGCTGGCTTATGCCTCAGGGGGGTGCCACTTGCCAGAGCTTCATTAAAGTCAAAGGCGTCGTTGCGGTTGTCGAAGCCCATGCCGAGGAAGGCATGCCGGCGGGTAGCGGAGTCCTCCACACGTAGAACGTAATAGCGCGATGAATCAGTGACCGGCTCCACGCAGACACTCCGTTGCCCGTACTGGACGGGACAAATGGCGAAGAGCTCGCCGCTACGGCGACATGGCGGGAGTAGGGATGGATGAGCACGGGACAGGAGGGCGCATCAAAAGCCAAGACAGTATTTCGATGAGGACTATTTAATATTAAGTGCGATAGTACATACAACAATTTACCTGTGCGGATCCTCAAGCCTAATTTCGCACAGTTCGCCCTTGGCGACAATTCGCATCCGCCCAGAAAATAGCTTATCGCTGACAAGCCATTCTCCTGAGCGCCAGCCAGTGGTACCCGGCCGTGGTGGAATGCGGTAGACGCTGACGGACCTCGCGATGTGCAGTGTCTGCTCCACGTCTGTTGTATCGGTGTCTGCCATCTGGGTTCTGGCTTGATGCAATACTACTCCAACAGGAATGCTGAAAGGATGCTTCGAAATGGTATATGATGCAGTTGTGCAGAGTATGCGATGCGTAGAAAGTGGTTTCGTTTCCGGTTAATCCGGCCAGGCCTAGAAATGTTCATGGTGATGACTGCTTTAAAAATACTATCACTCCTAGCACCATTGCCTTGCAGCGCGAGCATCATGGTGCTCCGTGTTCGCCCTGCAACGCACTGTACTGCTGATGGATGTTCAGCCTACTGACGCAGACCGGCAGGTTATTTACATAATTCACAAGTTCTAGATGTGCGGTAATCAATGATGTTGATTTTTGATAGGAATCTATTTGTGCAGTACTGATTGGTTATGTCCTCCGGGCGCCAACGCTGAATCGCTGGCGTTTCCCTTGTGGACGTGCGCCTCAGTTGCCTGGGGCCTCGAAGGTGATAGTGGAACTGACGACATTTAGGGTTCACATCGTTATGCCTGCCGAGTGGGGATCTTGTCGGACTCCGTTGGACAACGGATTCGCTATCTTGAAAATCCTGGCCTATAATTCTTGTTTTCTTAAACACCCATTTGTTTATCATCTGTGCCACATCTCTCAGATTGTAGCCGGCAGTACTTATGTCTTACAAAAGTTTAATGACAGCTACATGTCGGAAAAGGGTGCCAAGCCCGGCTTGACAAACGCAAAAGAGTCATACAAATTTTTACTTTTCTCGCCACTTTACGATGGAATAACCTGGAAGTGATTCTCGACGCGGCGTCGGCTGATGAGCTGACAAGCTGCTGACAGGTTAGCCCATGGCAGTACAGGACCCGGCAGGTTGTACCTCTCAACTTAGGTGCAGTAAAGAGCGTCAGCTCATTGACTTCAAATCGCCTCTTGCACAAACACACGCACACACACAGACATACACTCCGGGTGGAGGACCCTCCTTTCGAGGGTGAGGCTGTGTAACCCGGCACCTCCTGTTTTTTTCAGCATGACTCGGTGGATGTCCAGTTTATCCGTTTCAAGAAGAACAAAACATGTAGAAAATAGGAAGAGAGGAGTCCGTTTTGTTATCAAAAAACCTTATCTGTAAGCAGCCTGCGAGTAAGAGACGACGATGCGAGACCACCGCAATGTGGCCCTAACGCGGTCCCTAACACATCATCTTTTAATGAAATTCCTGAACACGCATTTTTGGTCTTCATTTGTTGTGAGATAGTTACCATGAAAGTGACCCCTGTGCTCGTCAGCTCTACCCCCGGAACAGGGTTCTGTTCTGTCCTTGGCTCGCAAAGCGCACCTGTGATACCGGCGGGTAACCACATACTCGCTGAGAGGCTTCCGCAAAATGATAATGACCAGGAGCCCCGGTGTTGGTGGTTGGTTACTTCGCTTCACCGCGATCATAATTCAGATAGAAGAGCAAAATTGTCCGCTACGACAATATCCTTTTCCGTTGACCGTTTGAACGACAGAACGAAGGAGTGCATGCCGTACATTGTTGCTTCCCACACGAGCCGGAGGGGACCCACCACAGCCACATACACACACATACATACATACACACGCACACGCACACCCGTCCCAGTTTTGAAAAACCAACCCAATGGATGCCAAGTACGCAAGACCCGAATAGGTGCATAAGAACCCCCAAAAGCACCTCTCCCCTTACATCTTCTCTTACAATCTGATCCCACCCCTTACACCCCTCCACAGAAAGGAAAAACTTAAAGACTGTACCCCACCTAGACGTCCTCCAGCACCCTCAGCCCGCTGACCGCCGTGCCCGCCACCACCTGCCCCCTCAGCTGCCTGCACACTGCCTCCAAAGTACGTTTGGTGACGTGGCCCGTCTTCTCCTTGCCAACACGCGCCTGCTCTCGGTACCGCTCCAGGATTACCACCAGCGCGCCCAGGTCCAGGCAGGGGTAGCGCTGCCGGCGGACCTCGGGAATGAGAACCTCCTCCACCTGGGGAGGTGCATCATCGGGGGGGGGGAAGATACGTGTGCGTGTGTGTGTTTTGGGGAGGATGCTAGGAGTTAGGAGTTATGGTGCCGTCATGGGGCTGTATTTGGCGGGGAGGTAAAAGTTTGGCGGGGGATGAGAGGTGAGCGGGGGAGAGAAGTTACGTTGTCACGGAGGGGCGGGTTTATTGCACAGGGGGAGGGAGGCAGAGACAGAGAGAGAGAGAGACTCAGGAAGACAGGCTACCGGCGCGATGAGAGGTTAGACGATCAAAGATAAAAGAGATAAAGAGAGGGCGAACGTTGAAGACGCAAGGGGCGACGACTCTACGTCTGCTTCTGCGCAGGTGCTTTTCTGCGTCAGCAACAACAAACAACAACGACCACGGTGCTCGTCCTTTTCTCGGGGCGAGCCGCCCGCAGTGTAACACCCAAACAACAAAACAACAACAACAACAACAACAACAAACAAAAAAATTATGGGCAGAACCATTCGCGGCAGCAGCAGCAGCAGCAGCAGTCCTCACCCTCGGCGACAGCAGCAGCGCACAAAGCTGTCGGGGCTCCGCAAATTCCTGACCCAGGTGCGGTACGGCACATGCGGCGATGAAGCGATCCAACAGCGCCACGTCCGCCGCCAGCCGCTCCACGGCAAACATGTTGTAGGCCTTGACTCCCTGGGGGCCACGTGGAAGGGGGGCCGAGGAGGGAAACGGAGGGAACAGCAGCAGCAGCAGCAGCAGCGGTGGGCACTCATGCAAACTCATAGTAGGCCCCCACTCAACTGCACACGTGCAGCCGCAATACGCACCTCCTTGAGCAGCGCCATAAAAGCATTTCCAGCAGCTCGAACCACAGCGCGCGACAGGTACAGGAATGAGGAGCGCGGCAGGATGGAAGCGGCCGCGTCGAAAGTGTCCTGCATTGAGCAGCAGGTGCCGATTATCAACTACTAACCCACAACTGATGATAACTGATTCGCGGCCGAAATGTATCAGATATCATGAGCCTCTTGGGTCGTTTGCGCCTTACAAGCTCAAGAAGCTTGTAAACGTATCAGATATCAGATTCAAATTCGGTTGCTAATGAAGGTTCAGAGATTTAGTCCAGAGATGTACTGAGCTTTACTGAATCCTATTGGACACGAAAACGTTACGAAGCCTAAAAGCCTAAAACCGTAAATTGCACCTCCTGGATGTGGAAGCGCTGTATGCCGCCGTCATCTTAGTAAATAATGGGATTTGAATGTTGTTTGAATTTTGTATTTTGTATTTTGATTTGCGTTTAAATTTAAACCTAATTTCAGGTTTAAATTTGAATTTAAATTTAATCAAGATTTGAATATTTTACGACATGCCTTGCCTTCAAGAGCGCCAGCAAGTCCTCGGAGTACTGCGATGTGCCTTGCGGCAGGGGCCCCTGCGGCAGCCAGTTAAGCGACTTGGCACCCGATACCAACCCCTCCACTCGTCCCGCCAATAGCTGCAGCAGCCCTCGCTCGCCGCCGTCCTGCACCGACCGCAGAGCCGCCAACACGGCACCCGTCGAGCTGTCGCCACCCAGGCCGGCGAAGCCGACAACGCCGCCGCCTCCGGCGGCAGCGCTGCCGGCCGCTGCCACTGCGGCCTTGCCGCGGCCGGCGGCGCCACCGTTGAGGCTTGTGGGGCCACCGTTGGCGCCGGCAGCACCGGAGGATCCACCGCCAGCAGCCGCCGCGGCGGCAGCTGCTGCCATGGCACCAAGCGGTCGAACCTGCACATCAACATAGTTCATAGGCACTTATATATAAAACAGGCACTTGGACACAACATTACACCTCACAGCGGAAAAGAGCCTCCGTGCATTTTTCCACAGGGGCAAGCAAAGGCGGCCTTTTGGTTCCGTGCTTTCTCGTAGTCAGCCAGGCACACGCATATCACGCAGTACTCACGTAACCCCAATACACGGGCCAAGACACACACGCGCACATACAACCTACAACCTGCATACATACATACAGGGACACGCACACTCGCCGTACATCCCGCTTTTAACACGCAAGACCCACATACCTTCAGAAGCGTCCACTCGTCCAGGGCCTGCATGCTCATCGCCAGGCACCAGGCGTTGGTTATCATGCGCATTACCTCGCGGATGTGCCATTGCGCCAGTGGCGGCTTCCGTGGCGGCGCGGCGACCAATGACCCGTGGGTCACAGCACCGGTGGATCCTGATGCCGACCCCTGGTTCAGCAGCGCCGCATCGGCTGCTAGCAGTCGGGCGGTATGATCCGCTAGTGCATCCACCACCGTCTGCACCGGCACGTGAATGTTGATGTTGTTGATGTGTTACAGGGTGGTTAAGCTCCACCAGCGGCCCCCTTCCCGAGGCAATTCCCTGCTCTCCCCTGCTAGAGGGGCACCCTAAGCCATTCACCCCATCCGACTTCAGAGTGTACTCTTTGAGTTTGGCAACTCACCACCGGCATCCAACCAAATCTAGCGGATCAACGGCGCGTCAACTTAGTCCCTGGTCAGCTCGCAAGTTGATGTTATCACGTCCTACACCGTCCACAAGATGGGGGGCCACCTCCCATTTCATCACCTCTCAAACACCCCGAGCGGTCGGCAGGCGGATTTGAACCCGGACGCGCGGGGAGCAGAAGTCAGGCCTTAACCTCTGTTTAGTTATTGTCTATAGCCTTCCATAGTTTTCTCCCCTTATATGCTTTATTAGGATCGTTTAAGCGATATAGATCCAAAAACAGATAAACCAAGCGCACCTTGGCCAGCAGTCGATCTCTGGCTTGCAGTACGGCAGGCAGCAGCTCCCAAGGACTTAACAAACCCTGAGGGAGGAGGGAGGAGGGAGGAGGGAGGAGGGAGGCAAAAAAATCACATTTTGACCCCCAAATTTCCAGCAGTTTCTATTTTCCCACCACTATGTCGCTGGCTACATCTCTGGATGTGAAGATATATACCCAAGCACGCGCGCACTCATTACATATGCGCCACTAACCAACCCTAAAAGTGGCTCCAAAGCCCTAAAAAAAGAACCAAAACACACACAAATACACACGACTCCCAACTGCCATGTACGGAACCTTACCTGAAGATACGACAAGGAGTCCGAGACAAAGCCCCGTACGGCCTGAAGAATCTTCGGAAGGCAGGCAGTGTACGGTGCACGGTACGGCAGGGCGAGAGGCAGAGCGCCTGCGGTATCTAGCGTCGCTGGCAGCCCCAGCCGGCCGGCCAGCTCTGCCGCCTGAGGCTCCGAAACCACCTCCACTCCCTGCTGCAGGGGGTCTTCCGCCAGCGCCCGACCCACTCTGAGCGCCACGGAGGCGGTGAGCAGCTCGTGGTAGCGGAGGCGGCTGCCGGTGAGCAGCTCCTGCGTGTGAGTGTGTGTGCATGTATGTATGTATGTAAGTGTGCGCGTGTTTATACGCACGTGCGTTTTAACATAACTGAACCACTGAACCGTGAGAAAAATACATACATACATACATACATACATACATACATACATACATACATACATATATACACACACACATACACACATACATACGCACACACATACACACATACATACATACATACACACACATACACACATACATACGCACGCACATGCATGCATGCATGCATGCATGCATACATACATACATACATACACACACGGTTGAATAAGGAAGTCACAACATGCAGAACTCTACCTAAGACAAGTCGTAATCTAGTGTATAAGCAGCGCCATAAGCTTGCAATGCCCGGCATGCATTCCATCTCTCCAAACCTTTGACCACCAAAATGGGACTTCCCACGAAGAGCTTGGTGTGGAACTAAACTATACGGACCAATAGAACGCGCATGGATCTTATCATCAACAAAGAGCCTGTTTTAAACCCTGACTTGTTACTGTTACTGCTACTGCTACTACTATTACTACTGCTACTGCTATTACTACACAGGCTCGAACCCCTCACCGTTATGGGAGCTGTTAGAAAGCCCCTCGCCCCTAGAGCGGAGCACACCAGTAGCATGAAGTCCTGGGGGAGGGGTGGCGTGGCGTGGCGTGTGCGTGTGTGTTCCGGTGTGTGTGTGCGCCATTTGCATGCGGGTATCGCCCCTAAAGCGGCCCACGTGGCCAAGACCGGGCGGAGACAGAGAGAAAAACACATCGCCGTACAGATGATACGTTCGTACCCACCGTAACGCCCCCTATCCACACCTCCCAACCCGGGGTGAAACCCTGGGGCCCCCGCCCCCCTCCTCGCCCGTCTCCCTCCTCCCCCCTCGCTCGTGGTTCGTCTTTTACCCCTCCCCTCCTCCCCGTTCATCTCCCCCTGGACTACTCGTCTATCTTTGGTATCTGCTCCATTCGTTCGTGGATCGTCGTCTCACCCCCCCTCCTTTCCCCCTGGGCCCCCCACCCCAAAAAACCCGCTATCATACCTTCAATAGCAGCATGATTGCGGCAGGTGCCCCGGCAGCCAGGGACTCCTCCAGCGCCCCCACCAGCACCCCCCTCAAACTGCCCGCAGCCGCCTCCCACAACAGCGCGGCACTCTCCGAGGAAAGGAGGTCCGGGGCTGCTGCACGTACGGCATCTTCCACCACGAAAAACCCCGTAACCTGGTTGGGGTAAGGGGTAAGGGGTTTCAGGAGGGGTAAGAGGGGGGGTAAGAGGGGGCGAGGGTTTCGGGGAGGATTCGGTGTATCTAGTCCTAACTGTCGACCAACCACCAACCGCTGGCCTCCCAGCCGCCATGGCCCCAAAGCAAGCCAGTGAGGGCCCCCAGACATGCATTCGTTAGTTCTGTTAGGAACACAAAAACACACACACGCACACGGCTCAGGTCATTAAAACACACACGCACATACATACATACACACACCACGTGATCCCTCTCGTGTGTTGCTCTCGCGGCTCAGCTCATCAAAGCAGCCCCGCATACAGTACGTTAGTAAAACACACACATCCATCCAGTCCTCCCCCTCCCTCCCTCCCTCCTTCAAAACCGCCTACTGGTCAGTTCTGCTCTTTCCTTGGGAACAGCTTCACTCGTTCGTGGTTCATCTTTCT